TTTATTGATTATTTGTTTTATGGTGTTAAGATTTTTTATCTCCTTACATATTCTGGATATTAATTCCCTATCAATCAGAGGAGTACCTGGCAAAGATTTTCTCCCATTTTCTGTAGGCTCTCTCTCCATGCTCTGAATTGTTTCATTTTCTGTGCAGAAGATCTTTAATTTGATGACATCTCACATATTGATGCTTGTTTTTATTTCTTGAGCGTTAGGTGTTTTGTTAAGGAAGTCAGCACTAATATTTTGAATTGCTGAGCTTATCTTTCTTATAGCAGTTGTAGTGTTTCTGGTCTAATTCTTAGGTCCTTGATCACTTTGAGTAGATTTTTGTGCAGGATGAGAGATAGCAATCTAGTTTCATTCTTCTACATATGGATGACCAATTTTCCTAGCATCATTTGTTTAAAAGGCTGTTTTTTCTCCAAAGGATGTTTTTGGCACTTTTTTCTAGTATCAAATGACTTCATCCAGGTGGATTTGTCTCTGTGTCTTCTAAATTCTATTCCACTGGTCTTTATGTCTATTTTGATGCCAATACCATAGCTCTGATATAATGTGAGATCAGGTAATGTGATGTCTCTAAATGTTGCTCTTCTTGCTCACGATTGCTTTGACTATTCTGGATCTTTTATTCTTATATATGAATTTTAGGACTTTTTGTCCAGTTCTGTGAAGAATTTCAATGGTATTTTGATGGGAGTTGCATTGTATCACTTTTGATAATACAGCCATTTTGACAATATCAGTTCTGCCTACTCAAGAACATTGAAGGTCTTTCTATCTTTTTAAGTCTTTTTAAATTTTTTTCTTCAGTTTTCTATAATTTTTATTGTAGAGTTATTTCACCTCCTTGATTAGATCTATTCCTAAGTATTTTTTTTCAGCTATTGTAAATGGAATTGCTTTCCTGATTTCTTTCAGCAGATTCACTATTGGCATATAATAAACTACTGATTTTTTTTTGTATGTTGATCTTGCATCCTGATACTTTGCTGAATTTATCAATTCTCTAGAAGAGTCTAAGTCTTAAGTCTTCTGTGGAGTTTTTTTGGTCTTCTAAATAGAAAATCATGTCATCAGTGAACAGATAATTTGACTTGTTCTTTTCCTCTTCATATCCCTTTGATTTTCTTCTCTTGCCTGCTTGCTTTGGCTAGAGTTTTAAGGAAAATGTTCAATAGGAGTGGTGAGAATGAGTGTCTTCATCCTGAGTTTAGAAGTAAGTACCTTCTATCCCTAGCTTCTTCACTGTTTTAATATGAATGATTGCTGGATTTTCTTGAAATTCTTTTCTGCATTGATTGAGATGATACTGTGGTTTTTGGTCTTAATTCTATTTATGTTATTAACTGTATTTATTAATTTATATATATATATATATATATATATATATATATATATATATATATATATATTGACTAATCTTTCATCCTGGGGAACTCTGTTTTTATTTAGTCTTTTTGCTTCATGGAGAAAACTCTCGCCTGCATTAGCGTTTCTGGCAAGAACAGCTCATGTAATGATCTTGAAGGTCACACGCCCTTCAACTACCCTTCCCAGCATCAGTCCACAGCAGGGAAAGCAAAGGCAGTGGGCAGACAGATCTGGATGTGAAACGTAAGGTTCCCACTTACCCTCTTGGGAACCCTTGGGAAAGTTTCTTAACCTCTCTATGGTTATCTATCAAATGTATAGAATGCTAATTTCCATACCTGCTCTGTTAGATTCTCCAGAGAAATAAAAGCAATATGATATATGTATCCATATTATCTATAGTTAATATTATATACATCATATATATTATTGGTTATAATGTGCCTTATAAATATATATTATATATCACATACTATGTTTATATCATACCTTATTGGTCATAATATGTTATTGAATTATATTCTCTTTATGTTATATATTATATACAGTTATATTATATAATATATCCTATTGAATCTGTGTTGGGGAAACCTTTAGCTAATACAGTATACTGAATGTGTGTATAAATAAATAAATAAATAAATAAATAAATAAATGTAGGGTGGGGGAGAGGGAGATTGATTTTGTGGAAATGACTTATAGGACTGTGGGAAGTACAAGTCTAGAATCTGTAGAGCAAGCTGATAGTGTAAAACTCAGATAAGAGAGATGCCACTGTCTTGAGTCTCTTGGCTGGAGACTCAGGCAGAATGTCTACACTGCAGTCCGAAGGGAGCATTCCTTCTCCTGGAGGAGCCTCTGTCTTTGCTCTAAGGCCTTCAACTGACTGGGTGAGACCTACACGTACTATGGAGGTTAGTCTGTTTTCCTAACATCGAGGAGTGTGAACATTAATTACATCTACAAAATGCAGTGTGTAATGGCCAGAGCAGTCCCAGGCATTTTCTCCCACTGTTTGCTAATTACCACGGTGACAGTTTTTTACATTTTCTTCTCCCCATTTTTGATACTTGGCTTTTCCTGCCATACCTCACCTTTCTCAAGAAGAGGCAACGATACCACAATTCTCATCAATGCAGAGGAAAAAACTCACCTAAACTACTGAAAATTCTGACTTAGTAAATGCTGCTTGAAAAAATGTTTCAGTTCTTAAACATGTTTGACACTTGAAATCATATGCTTAGCCAATTCTCTGTCTGCTGACATCTGTTCCTTGAGAGTAGAATAATACTTCATTAAAAAGAAATTTGGGTCCCTAGAAAATACTGTGTAACTATCAGGCGATCAATAGTTGCAAAGATTGATTAAATTTGTGTATGGATGAATGAGCTTGAGCAACTGTAAAATATTTGAATTTGAAGAACAACAGAACAATACTTCTCATGAAGGTCTGTGGATGACCTGCATCAGTCAAAAGAGTGATGCTTCATTCAGCAGATGGTACATCTCCTACCAGCACTGGCACACACCAGGGGTGGTTTGTTTATGCCCTCCCCCAACCTGACACGTTGGCACATCCCTGATGTGATGAGATTAGCGGGTGGGACCTTTGGTAAATGATGTGGTCATGAGGATGGGCCTCCCATGAATGGGATTAGTACCCTTACAGCAGGAGGAGGAGACCCGGGGTCTCTCTCTCCATCATGAGAAGAAGTGAGGAGAAGGCGGTCATCAGCAAACCAGGAAGAGGGCCCTCACCAGATAGAGTTAACCAGGAAGAGGGCTCTAACTAGACAGATTCAGCCAGTGCCTTAATCTTGGACTTCTGGGTCTTCAGAACTATGAGAAAGAAATGTTAGCTATTAAAGCCACATAGTGTGTGGTATTTTGTTATCACAGCCGGAACTGACAAAGACATTGGGTGACTGGGAGCCGGCTGCAGTTCTTAGCACCTCCTACCACCATGGGCCATACGGGAAGCACCCTTCTCATTTCGCACAAGTCTTGTTTCCCTACTGGACAGCAAGCTCCCTGAAGGCAGGCAGCCCCCAGCTTAAAGCATTGTGTCCCTGGCTCAGTTCTTGCAGGTAGTATGCTCTCAAAAAAAAAAAAAAAAAACAAAGAAAAAAGAAAAGAACAAAGAAAGAAAAGAAAAAAAGCTGGTTGAATTTTAAAAGTTGAGTTACTCTCTATGGATTCTTTTCACACTTTGATCTACTTTCCCAACCTTTTTGGCATCTTGTTGAGGGATAAAGTATGCAGAGTTTGGAAGCTGAGAGGCACACTTTCTGCACAAATCTACATACGAACCAGAATTCCTTCACACATATAAAATGATCACACATACCATCCCACCACCCTTGAAAGATGCTAAGGAACTAACTCTGATTTGAAAAAGGTAAATAAGGGGAGAGAGGTGGGCATTCATGCCCCTTTCCTATAACATCTGAACACTGGGTAATCAGACGGTAGATGTTTCCCTGTACAGACAGCCCCACGAATCAATAAAGAAGATATAGTTGAACTAGAATTTCATCACTTTTCCATCCTTAAAACGGTAAAGGTCTAAGCATTGAGCAGAAATGGCTACTGATGGGCATAGATACTGTGTCCCTTTTGATGAAGACTTCGACACCACCCTTGAAAAAGTTGTCCCCCGAAAACCCAAAACTAAAAATGATGAAGCTTTAAAATCAACCATCCATTGGCAGGAAATGTGGGAGACTGAAGGAAACGCTGGACTTCACCACAGGAATGCAACCCGCAAAACTCCAGCTGAGGAAGCCACAAGACAGAGCACAAGACAGAGGATCCAGTTTCCATCAGAAACAAACTTCAAAGGCTGGGGACGGGGTGGAGGTTGGTGGAGGAACCAATGCACTAAAGAGACCTCAAAGACACGTGAGACCAACCAGCCAACAACAGGAAGGGCTGTGTGTTGGTCTGGAGGGTGCACAGTGGAGAGGGAATAGAGGTAAGGTATAGAAGTAATTACTATGGAAATAAGGACAGTGGGAGTTCCCAGGGTGGGGCTTTCCAAGGAAACCTGAAGCCTGCCATATGGCTAGCTAGGTTTTGTCTCTTTTCATGTTTGATTCTTAAAAGGGTCTTTTCCCTATAATAATTTATTAATTCACACTTTGTTTAACCTTGCTTTCTGTATTTTTACAATAAAAGCTTTTAAAAATGGCTGTCCCACCTGTTTTAGAGTGACCGGAGCCTACCTACACACATCATCTCACAGGTGCAGGGCCTCATCTGTCTTCTTTGTTGTCAACACCAGCAAGCCTGGCTTTCAGCACATGGTTGGACTAAATACCTATTTACTAAGTGGATGAATAAGTGAGACTGTAGAATCAAACACACAGTGGATTTTGACAAAGGCTTCAGCAACGCCTCAGATTCCCAAGGTGTGCACTCCAGACCTTTGCTGGGTGTTGAGGACATCTGCAGTGTCACATGGGACATTCAGCCTTTTCCCAGTCGAACCAAGACACGGTGATATTCTTTTGTTACAGGTCGGTCCAGGTCACCTTGGTGGGCAACTGAATGTCCCTAACCCACTTAGAGGACAGAAAGTTTCGGTGTGGAAAGAAGGACCAACTGGCACAACGTGACACTGAATGTGCAAACTGCATTTCTTTACTTCCCAGCTGGAATTGATTACATGCACTTATTTTCAGTGGCCAATTAAAGCAGGACAGTAAGGCACAGGTTCCCACGGGCTGGCACACCCAGGAATCCACCCTTCTACAAGCCCCACACAGGATTCTCCAGTGAAAATTAAAGCTTGAGAACCAGGGCCTGAGGGAATGACAGGGCCATTCACTCCAGCGCACTGTTCTCTCTCACCCACCCTCATCCTTTCCTTTTCAACCGCCAGTGTTCGCAAAGGAAAAGCAAATTCATATGATTCTCATAAGCATGTTACTATTGTGAGGGGAAACTGAGGGTTTAAACAGAAGTCCCATAGCCAAATTTGTTTTTTTCCCCCTCCATCATCCAGCTGCTTACTCCCTTGCAAATATAACAGTCAATTCCAAGCAGACTGCCAGTTGGACAATTTCCGGATATTCAGATGCAAGAGATTCATCAGAGGCATTCCTAAATGGTTGTCAAATTCTGGCAAACCTAGATTGGAGAAAGGAGAAAAGAAATGCATAATTCATCTACATGCATAGGAAATGCGATGTCTAATCACACACATGCAAAACTAGTTGAAATAGTCACAACTAGGAAGACTGGATGGAGCCTCAAAGTAACTTTCTGTTTTTGTTTTCTCCCAAGTTCTCGATGTTCTGTCCTCTGAAAGACCAGGGAGGTTGTCACCCCTAAATCCAGCTTGATACTTAGTTAATAAACCCTTTCCTGTTTTCTCGTCCACTCCCAATAGAACAGCTTAGAGGATACCTGTGGGTTTCCCCTGCATTTTCATTCCCTAAAGTTGATTCATTCACCCACCAAGTATTTGGAAATAACTTACTCTATCTAACAGTGGATGGAACAAATGGGGCTCCTTTTCTTACTAGGAGGTGGTAAACATGTAACACGTGCACCCGAAGCTAACACAGTGTTGGCGACAGGGGATAGATACCTGGGCGTCTTTATTTTCAAGGGATGCTCCTGACATTGGTGAACAAGATAAATAGCCCCACGAAGGCAGGCTTTGAACTGAAAGAAGAAGGCAGTTGGAATAGAATTTCCTGATAAAGGGAACGGGATATGACCCCAAGAGAACAAAACGTTGAAGAAGAGGCAGCTGTTCTCATCTGAGCTCCCAGGGAGCAGGAAGGGCGTGGAGGGCTGCTGGGCTCCTGTTCACTGAACCCCACTTGGTGCTCACCGGCCACTTCCTTAGAGTCTCCTCAGTGGTGTCAGAGGAGGCTTGAGTCCTCCTTGACTCTTGGTATGAATAATCATGTATTTGGCTTGTTAGCTCTGGATATGTTTATGTAAGAGAAAGAGGCTGGCAAAATCTTTAATACGCAGGCACAGAGCTCTTGCTATAAAGGAAGTACTTCAAGAAATGATGCTGTGCATACCTTCAATTTGATGAATATTTATGGAGTGCCTATGAGTTTCAAGGCACGGGGGTGAATACAAAAATGGGAGTCAACAGTCCTTTTCCACAGATCTCAAATGCAAGAGTGTGTGTATTCGAGACCAGGTGGGTGGGAAACCGGAAAATATGGAGAGGGGATGAAAGAAGTCAAATTATGTACATAAATAATCAAAGAAGAAATCCTATTCTAGAAGTGAGGCTGTAGATGAGAATGCTTATGTAGGAAATAAATGTGGTCCTGAGTTGCTGTTTTCAGTAGAGAACAGCAAGGAGCTCAAAGCAGCAGAAGGTACTGAGTAACCTGTAGAGAACCGTGCCTTCTCCTCCAGGAAGCCCTCCCAGCCTGCAATCCCTGTCCCTGCTAGTATAGAGAATTCTCCCTCCTGCTGTTCCCTTGGCCTCTATGCCAGCTCCACACTTGCACTTACCATTAGAATTCAACTCTATCTTGCCCTTTACATGTGTGTTACTCTCATCAGACTCTGAACTCTTAAGCCTGGCCAATATCTTGGTTTTGCAACCTTGTCATCCATAGTAGAGACTCCATGAATGTCAGCTAAGCTGAACTGGGCATCCCAGGTAGAACAGAACAGAGTCTAATTCTCAGTAAAGATCTGGCAGGTTAAGAACTGCTACTTCAGAAATCAAGGGGGTAAAGCATTTTAGGAACTGTCTTCCCAAGATTCTCATAATTAATGATCAAAGAATTTCCTGGAGAGTCTGTTAAAAATGAAGACCATTCCCTCACCCCCAAACTTTGATTCAGAAGGTCTGGAACCAGGATTCAGACCCTGTGATTTAGATCAACTCTCCTGCTGGTTCTAGAACAAACAGTCCCATGCACACTTTGAGAAACTCTGCCTTCACCTAGAGCTTCCCTACAGAATGATAACTGTCTTTCTAATTACTTGTACAAGCCAATCTAAAGAGCTAGAGAGAAGGAATTCATACAGGTCTCACTGTCTGACAAACTATGATCATGGTTTCTCTTCTGGAAGTCGGGTTTTAATATAGATCTTGAATGACAATCTTTTGACTATTCATTTCTGGTAGTCTAGTCCTGATTCATGGTCACCTCTGTGTACAGATCTGAGCACAGACCTGCAGTGAATGTCAGGGTCAGGCATACCTAGAGCTTGTGCATAGATCTAGAAAGAAACCTGCAGTCTGAGGAAGGAACGTGGGTATCTTAGAAGAGTTTTACACAAAGGTCATTAATTTGCAAGGGTTTTAGAATAAGAATTTTTGTTGTTGTTGTTGATTCCCAGACCCGGTTTCCTAACTATCAGGTTAAACAAAACTTAGCTCTATCAGTGACTGTCCCCAAGATGCCTGAATGGCCTAGAAATTATTGGAAGTGTCACTCAAAGTGTCAGTAAATCTATATTGCTCAGAGTGGTAAACAAAATAAATCTTCATTCAATCCCATTTTGATTTCATATTTAATACAAAGATTTCAAAAACAGGGAATCGCAGTGTCCGGAGCAAAGACCAATCAACTAATTTGAATTGCAGACCTCCACCTCCAAGCTGTGGGAGAAAGTAATTGACATGGGCCATCTTGCAGTGGGATGGCACGGTGTGGACTGTCTAGAGTCCTGAGAGCATCTCATCCTTTGAAATATGCTGCACCAGAGCATCCAGCACACAGGGGCATCATTAGTGGGTTAGAGACGGCAGAGGAATTGCAGTTCATAACAGAACATCTAGTGGGCAGTTTGCCAGCCGTTTGGAATAACATAAGATAAAGGTCTCTTAAAGTGAGTATTTATAAAGTGCAGGGCTATGAGTCTTTAAAAGCCCCTTTCAAAATCATTGGAAAGGCCACTTATTTTCATATTATTTCCTAAGTCCTTCTGCCTTAAAAATTAATTCAATTTTGATGGAAGAATTTGGGAGGCGGGATGATACTATCAGATTGACTGAAAATATTGTTCAGGAAGAACAATCAGGATCTTTTCTATATGTAGTCATTGCCAACTATTACTCAGCAGAAACCATTCTCAGATATCAGGTGCCAGCCTGGCATCTCTGTTCGGAGGAAGAGAATAGTGCAGGCAACACTCACCAGGCATGGGTGGTGGCTTTGAAATAGCTGGCGAGGCTGAGGAACAATGACTGGACAACATCTGGGGCGGAAGGGAGAAACATTGTTAAATAATTTAAATGACCAAAATTCAAATGAAATCAGAGCAGCAGTTTGCAAAACTGTTACTTACAAGCAATTGTTATCACCAGCATGCACGTGAAGACATTGGATAATACTCCTCCAATCCACCATCTGAAACAACAGGATCGCTGCCACTTAGCATGTAATTATGCATTTCCAACATGCATGATGGCCTTTTAGACTTAAATAGACTTATAATTTCCAGATTTACTATAAAACTACAATAATACAGATTCAGTATTGGAAAAAGGATAGACAAATAAATCGACGAAAGAGAACTGGGAGCCCAGACATAGGCCCATATGGATGCAGTAAAATTTACTTTTTTCTTTTTCTTTTTTTGTACTGAGGATCCAACCTAGTGGTGTTAACCACTGAGCAATATCCGCAGCCCTTTTTTATGTTTTAACTAGAGATAGGATCTTGCTGAGTTGCTTATGGTCTCACTAGTTGCTGAAGCTGGCTTTGAACTCACGGTCCTCCTGCCTCAGCCTCCCAAACTGCTAGGATTACAGGCATGTGCCACCATGCTTGGCTAGTAAATTAACTTGTGTGTGTGTGTAGTACTGGGGATCCAACCCAAGGGTATTTTGCCACTGATTTTAGCAGAAATGCAAAGGAAATTCAATGGAGAAAGAGTAGTTTCTTCAACAAATGATATTGGAACAATTGGTTATTCACGTGCAAAAGAATGAACCTCCACATATTTACCATATCTCACACAAAATCCAACTTAAAATGAATGATAGACTAAAATGTAAACTGTAAAAATATATAACTTCTAGTGTAATACAAGGTGAAAAACTATGTGACCTTGTGTTTGGCAATAAGATTTTAAATACAACACTAAGTCCCCAATCTCTCAAAAAAGATCAATTAATTGGATTTTATGAAAAAATATTTTTAAAAGTCCTCTCTGTGAAAGACTCTGGTAAGATAGTGAAAAGACAAGGTATAGTTTTGTGGAAAATATTTGCAAATAATATATCTGACAAAGAAATTCTAATCACAATATATAAAGAGCACTTAAAACTCTATAATAATAAAGCAACCTACTTAAAAATGGGTGAAAGATCTGAACAGACATCAGACACCTCACCAATGAAGGTATTCATATGGCAAATACATATAAGAAGCTATGCCCAGTGTCATTTGTCATTGGAGTAATGCAAATTAAAACAGCAAGACTCCTCTCCATACCTATGACGATGGCTAAAGCTCCCCCAAAATGACAACAACAAACGTAGACAGATGCAGAGCAACAAGGACTCTCATTCATTGCTGATCTGAGTGAAGTGGCACAACAATTTGGAAGATGTTTGGTAATTTCTTGCAAAGCAGCTCCTCTTGTCACCCAGCAATCACTCTCTCTACTGCATACCCAACTGAATTGAAACCCTGTCTCTATTAAAAAAAAAAAGAAAGAAAAGGTTTTCTTGTCAAAACTTTATCCAAATTTGTCAAAAACTGGAAGCAACAAAGATGCTTTCGACAGGTGAATATATAAACAATCCATGGTACGTCTATGAACTGGGCTGTTAGAATGACACATTTCTTCTTGCTGTAGGTTGGTACCTCTTCTTACAAGAAGGATGCGTCGCAGAGAAGGTGAAAAGATTTCTGCATTAATCATATGTTAACAACATACCCTATGAGAGAAAGTTTTTTTTTTTTTTTCTGGAAAAGTAAGGAAGCGAAAGCAGACAGGAGTGGTGGGGAGAACTATGGTTCCACGTGGAGTAAAATTCAATGTAAATTCCAAGCTTTTATTTCTACCCCTTATCCTCTTTTCCTTGCTTTATTTTTTGCAATGGTTACTTCTAGATTTACCATAAAAATAAAAAGGAATGAGCTATTAATTCATGCAACAATATGAATTCATCTTAAATGCATTTTGCTATGTGACAGAAGGTAAGGCAAAAAGGCTACATACTGAATAACTACATTCTTAAAGAATTCTGGGAAAAGATAAGGTTATAGGAACAGCAAACAGATAAGTGGTTTCTGGGAGTTTAGGGAGGAGGAGCATTCATCTAAGGAAGCACAGAGAATTATTTTAGTTGTTGAGGCTGGCCTTGAACCTGGATTGCTCTCTGTCTCAGGCTCCAGAGTTGCTAGGATTATTGAGGTGCACCACCATGCCCAGCTATGGGCTCTTTTTTCAGTGATTAAATGGAATTAGGAAGTGGTGATGGTGGCATAACTTTGTGAGTGCACTAAAAAACTACACTTAAAAAAAATAAATACCAAAATAAAATAAGAAACTTTTTAAGATACAGCAAACAGCCTTCTATAAATATTTCACAAGTACTATTGTATGTTCAAGATAAATTCCCAGGAAGAATATAGCCTAGTCAAATGGGACATCCTTAAGTTTCAAAGAAATTGCCAAAATGCCCTAGTTAAGGGATTTTAAGTATTAATGATTAAAAATTTCACCAGGAATGTAGAAGCGCATCTGCTACCTCCCAGCCTTGCCAAAAATATGTGATCAAATATTTGGATTTTTCCAATCTGATGGGTGATTGTATCTCAGGGTAGTTATTTTTTTAAGAAAAGAATAATTCCTTGGTGATTTTGATTTTCAAAATGTAAATAATTTAAGATTAAAAAAAATAAGTACAAAGGAGAAGAAAACGTCATTTTTAAAAAGCCACTACCCAGTACCCTTCATGATTAAAATTTGATGACTGTCTTTTCCAATATCTCTTCTATGATTTTCTACAACTTTTTTCTCTAAACTGAGCTCTAAGGTATGCACTGTAGAGAATAAAAATTGCACATTTTGATTTTGACATTTTAACATAAGCCCCTGTAAATGCTATCTAGATTAAGATATAGAATATATTCAGCAACCTAGAAGGTTCCTTTGTTGTTTCTTCCAGTTTAACCACTATTTTTACATCTATAATAATTCATAAGCTTTGTCTTCTATTGAATTCTACATAAATGTCATCCTACAGACTTTGTGTCTATCATTTTTTTTCATAACTTCTTTTATTTCAATATAACCATTTCAAATATGCTGTTGGAGATATATATTTTCTCATTTTTCTTTTTAAGAGCTTTTATTAGTGCAGGGTAGTTACATATAATAGTGGGGCTCATTTGACATAATTATGCATGCATGGAATATAATTTGCTCCATTTCAATCCCTAGTCTTCCTCTTTCCCTCCCCGACTCCTGCCCCCTGTTCTCCACTCTACTGGTCTTCCAGTATTCCAGTATTTATTGTTTTTTAGGTGCTTTATAGATATATGTAAAGGTGGGATTCACCGTGGAATACTCACATATGTATAGCATAATTTGGTTAATTTCATTCCACACTTCCTCTCTTTTCCCATCTCTGCTTCCTCGCCATCAATCCTATCAATCCCCTTCCCTGCTCCACTGTTCTCCCTTCTATTTTCATGGAATTCTCTCCTTTTCCCCTTATTTTAATCTAGCTTCTGCATATGGGGGAAATATTCAACCTCTAAATTTCTAGGTCTGGCTTATTTCACTTAGCATGATGTTCTCCAGATCCATCCATTTACCAGAAAATGCCAAGATTTCATTCTTCTTCATGGCTGAGTAATACGTCAACATATCCAAAAGACACATTCATGCTTTTGCTCATATCATTAGCTCTTTTGTTAAATGATTCTTAAATAAACTATTTTTTTTAAATCAGTGTCTCATGGATGTCCATGATGGTGAGATTCACTGTGGTATATTCATATATGTACATAAGAGAGTTAGGTCAGAGCTATTCCACTGATATCCTCTTATCATGTCCCTTCTCCTTCCCCCTCCATCCCCTTCTTCTGTTCCACTGGTCTTTCTTCTATTTTGATGGAATTCCAGGCCCCCTTCTTCTGCTTTCTCCTCTCTCTCTTCTTATTTTGGATTAGCTTCCACATATCAGAGAAAATATTCAACCTTTGACTTTTGAGGACTGGCTTATTTCACTTAGCACGATGTTCTCCAGTTCCATCCACTTACCAGCAAATGCCGTGATTTTATTCTTCTTCACATCTGAGTTATACTGCATTGTGTGTATAGACCGTATTTTTTTTTATCCATCCCTCTGCGGAAGGACGCCTAGGTTTGTTCCATAGCTTGGCTATTATGGATTATGCAGCTATACACATTGATGTGGCTGAAACCCTACGGTATGCTGATTTTAGCTGTACTGGATACTTATTGAGGAGCGGGATCGCTGGGTCATATGGTGGTTCCATTTCTAGTGTTTTGAGGAATCACCACTCTGCTTTCCAGAGTCATTGATTTGCCGTTCCATCAGCCATGTATGACTGTGCCTTTTCTCAGATTCCTCACCAACACTTATTATTATTTGTATTCTTGATCATTGCCATTCTTACTGCAGTGGGAAGAAATCTCAATGTAGTTTTGATTTAAATTTCCCTAATTGCTAGAGATGTTGAACATTTTTTTCATATATGTTTGCCATTTATATTTCTTCTTTGCCCATTTATTGAGTTATTTGTTTTATATAATAATTTAGATAAATAGAAAAATTGAATAGTATGTACAGAGGGCTCCCAGGTTTCTCTCAACCACCTCCCTTTATTACGGGCATCTTATATACTATCCTGCATTCATCACAATTAAAGAACCAACGCTGGTACCTGACTATTAACTCCACGCTTCATTTGAATGTCCTAATTTCCCTACTTCCCCTTCCTGTTCCAGGCTCCCATCCAGCCTTCCCCACTGTGTTTGGTCATCAGGTCTCCTTGGTTGCTCTGCGCTGTGACAGCTTGGCTTCAATGACCTCCATCTGAGTGAAACTGCTCAGATCATGTGGAGAAGATCCCCTAGTTTGGGTTCTCTGCCTAAGTTTCACATGACTGGGTTTTGGAGGACCATAGAGTGGAGTACCTTGCCCACTGCATTGTCCCAGGCACCCGAGGCGGCTTTGGCCAGGTGTTGCCACAGTGAAGTTGCCCTTCCCCTTTCCTTACTCCATTTTTGGAAGCTAGTTTCTAAAAACAGTTCACCCCTCCAGGGTTGGAGGGTAAAGCTCTACCTCTAAAGCAGGGAGGGTTCACATAAATCAGCCTAAGAAACACGATAATAATCCCGCTGCTGAGCCATCTCTCTGGGCCACCGTTCTGATGGAGCGCGTTGTGCTCTTCCAACGTGGGACGCACAATGCAGAGTTTTGCAAATTTATTTTTAACCCTAGGACCTCCCCCTTCTTGTTCTCTTGGTCCCATTGTACTCTAAAATTGCTTCTCAAACCTCATAATTAACTGGGAAGCTTGTTTTAAAATTCCACTTCTCACTAGACCTAAATCAGTGTCTCCAGGGACAGGATCTGGAACTTGGTGTTTAAAAAGCAGCTTGTCGAGGTGTCTGACCCTTGAGTGGCAGCCCTTGAGAGAAGGCAGCATCTGCTAAGAGTGAGGACTGCAAAGCTCCGGACCAGCCGTCTTTGCTTCATTGGTCCAGCAAATATTGACAAGCCCCTGGCATTGGGGTTCAGAAGTGGAGGAGGCACACTGCATCTCTGACACTGTCACTCATATTCATGAAGGGACAGGTAGGTCATTAATATTTAGAGAAGTGAACCTAAGACAGGGAGGTGGTGGTCAAGGCTCTGAAGAAAAGTGAAGCAAGGAGTGTGTGTGACAAACGGGTGTGCTGCCCATGCAGGGTTGTCAGGAAAGGCCCCCAGGATGATATGACATTTGAACAGATTCCACAAAGAAGTGAAGTCACATGTTATGAGGCTGTCTGTAGAAGACTTGTGCTAAGCAGAAGAAACAGCGAGTGCCAAGGCCCTGAGGCATGACTAGATTTAGGGCCAAAGGGGCTTGTTCACTGTCCTGCAGTGGCTGGGCAAAGAAAGAAGCCAGGGCAAGGACACAGGGGAAAGACAACAGAGCAGAGACAGCTGTAGTCAGAAAGGAGCTGCAGTCCCACATGCTCTGAGTGGACTTCCCTGAAACTGACCCTTCATCTGTAAAAAGACTGTGAATGTTGTCAGAATCAAGATGGAGTCACTTGTGTCAACTCTAACAAAAGTAGTAATTATCACAACACTCTGCCGGAACTACAAGACACAATCTTATACAAAAAAAGTACTTCTTATGGACATTTGTCCAGGAACTCTGTTCAACTTCAGACTGACGTCACCATTACTACTAGCCATTGTGGTCAAAGATTATTGTTTCAAAATATCGACTGTTATCCTCTTCATTTTTGCCTTTAAAAACCTCCCCGGCTTCCATCTATTTGAATATGTTCAGTTGATGATGGCACAAGTGTTCCCATCGAAACACTGCCAGTCCTGATGCATTGTTATTCTTTGGAGAATCTCTTACTGATTATTCTTTTTTAGATCAACATAATGTAGGACAAAAAAATTACAATTGGAAAAAAGGAGTGCACTACTGGGGACTTCAAGTGCTCTCGGATTCTGAGAAGGGACACTTGGATTATCTGTAGTAGGAGTCGCTGAGACTTTACACAAAGGATACACATGGTAGAATCCAATTTTAAGCGAGACACACTGGCTTTTGTGTGCTTTGCTAGAGGATGAGAGGAGGGAGGGAAGAGATAAAAAAGACACCATGATAGATACATGAACAGATCTTGACCACAGAGCTGCCTAAAAATGCTCTGAGGAATAAGGCAAGGAAATCATCAGCTACACTCCTTTAATTATGAAATACTGCTGCATGAAAATAAAATCTGAATTACCTTGCACATAGAGAAATGATGAAGCCTGCTGTAAGCAGCACTGCCTGAAAGGAGACACCCGGAAACACACTGGTTTCTAATAGGAAGAACACAAATTAGTGGATCAGAAATCATGGCTGATTAAATCATCTTAGAACAACAAAAAAATAATACTAAACCTTCTCTACACACACACACACACACACACATACACACACACATCAAATGCATGTCATCTTAAGCAATGCTAGGGTTTGGATATGAGATGTCCCTGTTAAAGCTCTGTGTAAAAGCAGGAATGTTCAGAGGTGGGGCATGGATGGAGGAGGTGTGTCACTGGGGGCCTGTCCCTGGTGCACGCACCCAATCTTGCTCTCTGTGCTTTCTGGCCACCATAAATGGGACAGCATCCCTCTACCATACCCTCCTGTCATGATGTTCTGCCTCACTTGGGACCCAGACCAACGGAATCTGTGGAACCTGGACTGAACACTGGAAACCATGAACCAAAATAAACTTATTCTCCTTTCAGTTGTTCTTGTTGGGTATTTTGGTTACAGTGGTGAGAAGCTGACTAACACAAGCAATTTGTCATAAGTAATGATATAAAATCACCTAACGTTATACAGGGCCATTCATTAGACAATTAGGCAAATTATCAGTTTTGTTTATCACTATAAAAGACTATGTTACACACTTCAGGGTTGCCTGTTGCTTTAATGTCAGGCAAAGGCTTTGTGGAGTTTATGCTAATGTCAGAATGATGATGACAATGATGGTACAAACAATCATAATGCCTAAAATCAGTAGAGGGCCTTTTAATTCACCAATAACTTTCACACATCAGTTCATTTAGTCAGCACAACAACTAGGTGAGGTGGGCAACATTGTCTTAGCTCTGCAAGCAAGAAGACCAAACTGAGAGAAATGACAAATGATCCAAGGTCACACAGCGATGAGACGCCAGAGCCAAGATGTAGAAACCACATCTAGACAGAACATAATGTTTTGTCTGAAGTGGGGCAGGGAAAGACAATTGCAGCTTTGCATACTGGCAGTCTCTACAGACCAGAACAGAGAACATACATTATGAAAGAGTTTGTCCTTGCAAAACTCTCCACAATCCGCAGAACATCTCAGTGCTGTTGAGCCACAGTGGAAGTGGCTACAGATCCTCCAGCACTTCTAAGCAGGAGAGTTCAGTCAATCATGAACCTCAGTGGGACCCTAATTACCTAAAGAGAAGTGGAGCTGGCTTAAAGATTACTACAGAAAACTTGAAGGAATCTATAAACAGACCTCAACTTATTTTTTTTTGCCAAATGCTTCCAAAGCTCAGTTTTACAACAGTTGTTTGAAACTTGGAATGACTTTATGAATGTATTTATTTTTGCTATTTAAGCTATGAATGAGGATTGAATCAGCTACAAAAATTCCTTAGCCCATCATGTGGGTGGAATACTGAAAACTGGCAATTGAAAACGTAGCAGTAGCAAATTATTTGCTGAAAATATATGGTATTGATGTATACTGTGAATTAAATAAGTCATCGTGGGTTCAATTGAACCCTCCACCATCTTTCTAAAGTGGGTTTCTATTCTTTGCCTCCCCCAACTTCATGTGGAATTTGGAGAACATTTCCTGAGAGAAACAAATCCAACTTGACAACCTGCAAATCTCTCTAGACTTAGACACTGAAGGATGAATGGATGTACATATGAGTTCCACAAAGAGAGGGGTTGTGTCACTTTGGGCCAGTTTTCAGGCCCCTTCCTTTAGCAGCCATTTGCTTCGTACCTATTTTGGTGAAGCGGGTCTAACCCCTTGGGCAAGCCTGCCTCCAGCCTCCACCCGGCCCTGAACTTCCCTCCCCTGATTCCCACACCTTCCTTCCCGTCTCCCTTACCCCTTCCCATCTCCCTTACCATTCTCTTCACACTGAATTAAAGTTTTTGTTCTACACTCTGTTTCTCCCACAAGGCTCCACGCTGCACTTCCTAATCGAGGGGACAGCACCCGCGGTTTACTTGAGGAACCCCTCTCCTGCTCTCTCCTGGTGCACAGTTTGGGTGGGCTAGTGGGCGTCTTTGATTTCCCTCCCAGCATTTAAACCCTTCCAAGGTTTTTGGAGCTTCACATACTTATCTACAAAATGACCAGTTTCTCCATGTAGGTGAAACTTTTCAAATGCCAATAAAACTTAATTCTTGGCCTCCCGTCATAACTCCACTGAACTGGAAATTAGAAAAGTCCAGGTACAAATCAACCAGGAAAATGATGGCAAGATGGCCTTTAAAAAGCAACACCCACAGAAAAGAAGAGACAAGAAGAGACGGAGATGGACAGACTCCTCGACCCTATGCCTGGGAATTTTCATTAACGTAAACCCACAGATTCCATGACTGAGCAGTCCACTTTGAGTCGAGACTTCAGAATCAAAAGCTTTGACTGACAGAGATGAGGCTGTACACACCTACCCCCAGCACCTGAAATAGCACCTGGCAGAGAAGACACACTCAGAACCTACATTTGAAGGACTGCAGAAAGATGGAGACCTTGTCCCCTCCAGGATCCAGAGCTCAAGGAGGAGGAGGGAAATGCGTGTTTGACTAGAGGTGTGCATACTGGGTGCTAGGGAAGTACAGGGCCACCTCCAGTGGCCAGAGGGGCAAATAAGACCCTTTAATGGACCATGAGGAAGAGCAGGGGTGCTCCAGGTACAGCAGGTGGCACTGACAATTCAGACAGCAGAGAGCAGCCATTTCTCCTTGCCAAACTTTGCCAACAGTACCAAGGTTGATTTGGCCTTGCTGAGTCAGTACTCTTATCTGTAGTATGGAGAGGGAACATTTTTAAATGGTCCACCACAGTCACAGAGCACAAGGAATTTGTGGAGGACTGTGACCTAGTGCCCATCCTGAAGGAGTTCCCAGGCCAAAGATGGGGGTGCTTCCCATGCAGAGGTAAGCATGCGACAGTAGTGCAGGGAGTGGGCGTGAGACAGAGAAGCCCTGGGAGCCTGAGGAGCACAGAGAAGGGAGCTTTCTGGAGGAGGTGGCTACTGAGCCTTGTGAGGCACTGATAACTTGGCCACTGTCTGGACAGTAAAGTCACCTTCTCTGTCAATCCAACACCTGGAAAGGGAGTTCACAAAACACTTCAACACTTATCTAATGGCTGCACCTGGGTGCAGGGAACCTTGGCCTTTGTAGGGGAAGGGATAACCCATGAGGTTCATATTCATGATTTTGTTCATATTCATTATGTTTCCATTTCATCTCACCTTCACATAATCGTAACTTCACATTCATTGAGCATTTAGTAGACATGGCCCAAATTGATTTACATGAACTATTTTCGTCTTTATGAGATAAGAACTGGGATGATCTGTACATGCACATGAAACCATTGCACTTTAGAGTTTGGTAAGCTGCTCAGCTTTCTTCCTTGGTGGTTCACAGAGTTACTACAGCGAACACATGGGGAACAGGGCTTTGCCTCTTGGTCAACTGGCAACAGGGCCAGCCCAATAGCAGAGCCTGATTCCGGCGAACCAGAGAAGAGAGGCTTGATTGCTTGCTGGACTTATTCCACACTCACTTTGACAGGAGATGCCAATAATTTTGGATATTTTTCCTTTTCTTACTAGAGGCATCCTGTAAAAGGATATTCTTTTCCTGCTGGGCACCATGGCACATGCTTGTAATCCCAGAGATTCGGGCGACTGATACAGGTGGATCACAATTTCAAAGTGAGGCTCAGCGACTTAGTGAAGGCCTAAGCAACTCAATGAGACCCTGTCTCAAAATAAAAAATAAAAATAAAGGGCTGGAGTAGTGGCTCAGTGGCTAAGCACCCCTGGGTTCAATTGCCGGTCCAAAAAAAAATGTTCTTTTGCTCATTTTCCTGTTTTTCTTCTGGTGTGAGTCAAATATACTGCTATGTATAAAGACTAAAACAGCAAGGACCTGTGTTTCTTCTCCTGTGCTCAGTTAGAGCCTAACATTATATCACACAACTTCAGAGTTTTTGAAAAAAAATAAAGCAGTGTACATTCAGTGCTTCTGATGACTCTAAGATGATACCAAAGGCAATGACCTCCCTTATGAACACATCTCAAGGACCCTGGCCAAGGTCTGGGTCCACCTCTCCTTGAACTGGTAGAAGCCAGTAGCTAGGAGCATGTCAGTCACCCTCTGCCATGTCAGGCCCTGAAAGGAAGAATTCTTTGGGAATGGCAATACATAAATCAATAAATAAATGAAAAACTCACGTGAATGATCCACAATGTTCTCTTGCAAACGTTCAGGGGCATTCCACAGGGGCTGAAGGGTGTCCTGGGAGCTTCCTCTGGGAGGCTGAGATGTGATTTGGCTGGAAGTGGAGGCTGTCACAGATGCTGCCTTTGGCTTCTCCAGGTTGTCAGTCAGAGAAGAACAGTTGAAATCCCCTTCTGAAAAGGAGATGGGTTCAGAGTGTGTGTGCATGTGTGTGTTCAGTGACTGCTTTATGCATGCTTCATAGCAATAGGAACCCAGATGCACTGCCAGAGTAGAACGGCTTTCTAATTGGTCCTCCTCTTGAAGCTGCAAAGAAGTAGCTCAGTGCACATACAAGCAAGGCCAGAGGCCTAAAGGTTTGGCAAAGGAAGCAGGTTGCAATGTGGTTAGAACAAAGTACCCAGGGAAGTCAGCTGAAGATGAAGCTGGAGCCAGACTGAGGACTGGTCACCAAAGGCACTAACCTCTCAGCTGAGCATCAGGGACTCCTGCTGCAAGCAGTGGGATGATCCCGAGTAAGGGCAGCACTGTACACACTCTACACTAGACACATAAAACTGTGGCATTTTATGTAGGCAAAATAAGGTGACGTTTTGATATATGATGAAATGGAGGTGGCCCTAGAAGAAAGCATGAAAGGCTATCCAAAGACCCATGTGTAGAGGAGACAGGAAATCCCACCCATCATGAGGGGCAGTGAATGGGTAGACTTGAAGAAGCCTGGTGACCGCATAGGCCACACATATGTGTAGCATTAAACTTCATAGTCGCCTAACTCCTTCTTCTAACTCACTCACTGGCTCATTTGACATTAATCCAATATAGATCAGAACCTGACTGAGCTGCTAGGAAACAATGGAGTATCAGACAGATGTCATCTCTGTCCTCATGTGGCTTGTGTGCTGGTGGGAGGAAGGTGGGACTAAGGACAACCTTCCACTATCAAATATGTTGATGTGCTGGGTAAAATGCTGTGTAGCATGTGTTTTTTCATCTAAGGGGTTATATAATTCAAACATGGTTTCAAGGACATGTGGCCCTTGAAACAAGAGTCCACACATAAATAAATATGTTTTACCAGCCCTTTAGTTAGCCTAACATTACCTCAAAAAGAGTCAATCAAATTCATCTCAAAATCATGTAGCATAATGTTTCACACCTGCTAAGCTAACTCCTAATGAAGATTGGTGTCGTCAACATTAGGACATTAAGGAATGACATGTAATTGTTGGCTCTGAATTTGAGTCTGGGGTTACAAGGTCCCAAATTGCCCAAGTCAGAGCTCCAGGCAGGAAGACTGCAGTGGGCATGTCCTTCCACCTCACAGAAGGTTCAGCACCACACCTGACCCACTACAAGTCTCTGAGATTCATCTGGCATGAATGCACGCAGGACTTCCCTGTTCTGTCTTTGGTGGTCTGTGTGATGCCCACACAGGGAAAAACTTTACTTCTGTGACCTTGAGTAAAAATTTGAGCCATGGAGAGCTCATTGACCTGGAAGCAAAACCTCTCACAAAGAGCAGGCAGAAGCCCTGCCTCGGACACAGGTGTTTCCTGAGCTGGTGTCGAAGATGGCACACAACCAACTGATGTTTTGTAAACTGTATGGCTGAGCTCAAAAGAATGATGCATTCCCAGAGGCCACGGCAAGGACTCCCAGAGCTCTGAAGAGCCATGGCCTAACGGCCCTGGAGGGTGGGGGTTTCTAGAAGCCAAAGGGCTATGGTTTCAGTGATACCATAGGAGCAGAGAAAAGGCCTTGGTGTAAAGAGAGACATAAAATTAGAACTGAATTCTTATAAGAACTTGAGTCTATTTCCCCAATGAAGGGGGAGGCTAAAGAAAAAAAGTCACTTAAAGTTCAGGAAGAGGACTTGATGGCTCATGTCCTTTGGTCTAGGCAGCTATCTCCCAAAGATTTTATGAGGAAGTGGTTTTCAAGTCCAAATTTATACTGAGAAGTTACTATTTCAAAACAGTCTTCACTGGTGCTTGTCCTGTGATGTACACTAGGATGTACACTTAAATCTCGTTTTAGAACGCTCTCAGCCCCAGATGCACAGATTCTCTCAAAGAAAGCCCAAGGGAGATGAACTCACAACCCCAAACCACAAGATTCTCCAGGAGGTACTCTCCCAGGGGAAAGGCAAACATGTACCACAATGCAGAAAAGGAGAACCCTAGGGCAGGAGGCAATGGGGGAACCCAGGAGATCATGCTTGATTTTCAGTTTAGGACAGTGGGTGTGGTGTCTGAGAACATTGTGCTCCTTTATTTTACCCTAGGGAAATGCTGAAGTAAACCCATAAACATGTTTTTTTCTAACTATACTATCTGCTTATTTTTTTCTTATCTAAAAAAGAGAATTATTTCTATGGCCTGTATGTGTCTTGGTTTTATGACTATAGAATTACTCAAATCAACTGTGTACATATTTATCTCCCCATATGCTATAGGGCACTCAGGTGAATGAGAGGGATACAGGGAGAAGACAGTGCCCCAAAGGGGCTAGAAATCCCAGGTGGTGTTTGTGCACATGAGAGTCACTGGTGGGAAGTGGTAAGGAGGGAGTGTTCATTAGGTAGGGGACACATGCAAAGTGATGTCATTGTTAAGAAGAAGCAAAGTGAGATTTGGTGGGAATGCCAAAGACTTGGCTTCAGAAGACGGAACCCAAGTCTTCATGCAAGAAACACAGGGCATGGGACCTAGGTTTTCTGACCCCGAGTTTCCTCATCTATAAAGTAGAACATTCTATGAAAAAGAAAGGAAGGGAAGGAGCAGAGCTTATTGGTGGACATATGGAAAGGGTTTTAAAAAAAAAAAATGAATGACTCTCCAGGGAATTGCTCTACCATGCAGGAGCTCCTCAGCCTGTTCCCAGACATTTCTAGGCACACATCTCATCCCACGTGGTTGCTTTGTTATCCCCTCCTCACTGTATGGCAAGGTGACATCAGGAAGGCCAGAAGAGAGGGGGAACTGGAAGAAAGGGAAGATGCAGTGGGTTCCCAGAGAGCGAGACCCAGGCACCAGACAGGAGCACATGCCTGGGGAATCCTGGGAGATGGTGCTGGCTGGACCACTAAGAAAGATCAGATCTTGAGGGGCCCCGGGTCACACTTGGGAGCTAAGATTATTCTGTGGGAGTCTGAAGTCATTAAAGTCATACGAGCATGAGGAGCTCCATGCGTTGAGATGCTCACTCAATGGTGAGATCTGAGAAATTCCCAGTCCTTGAGAGTTGAGCAAGTGGGGACCTCCAAGAGATACTTGGGGTCCTCATATAACAGGAGTCCTCTACCCTGTTATATGAGGGGATTTCTCCTCCCAGACAATTTTTTTTTCTTTTTTTGCATCCCAGAACGTGTTTGATTGACATCATTTAGCCCATGGGGGTTGCAATTGGCAACTAGTGTGCAGAGGCCAGGGATGCTGCTAACCTGCTCTGGAGGACAGCACGGCTATTGGGCCAAGAATGATCTGGCCCATAGTATCAGTAACAGTGAGCTTGAAAGCCTGCCAAAGGGAGACCAGACCTAAATGTACAGGCGTCTTGATCACTGGAGCCTTCGACACCTCTGGGAAGCACTGGCATGTGCAGACCTGTCTCTTTTTCCTGTTGTACTTATTCTTGTCCAAACACCCAGCTCTCTGCCTTGGTGGGATAAATCATTATCACAATTTTATAAATTTCCTATAAACTCAGACTATAGAATGTGTAAATGGTGTGGTCTTTGTTTAATATCTGTGTCCCTGACTAGACTAAATTTCCATAAGATAAAGTTCACCTGAGCTGCTCCAGACACCAGCAATCAGTCCAGCTCATAGTTGGCCCTCAGTAAGGTTGGTTATGTTAATGGATGGAGGTTTCCCTGGAGGTGAGAGCTTCTGATGACTCTAATATGATACTAAAGGCAATGACCTCCCTTGTGAATGCATCACAATGACCCTGGCCCAGGCTTCAGTCCAACTCTCCTCCCACAGGTTGATGCCAGTACCTAGGAGCATGTCAGTCACCCTCTGCCATGTCAGGCCCAGGAAGGGAAGAATTCTTTGGGAATGGCAATACATAAATAAATTAATTAATAGAAACACTCACGTGAATGATCCACAATGTTCTCTTGCAAACGTTCAGGGGCATTCCACAGGGACTGAAGGGTGTCCTGGGAGCTTCCACTGGGAGGCTGAGATGTGATTTGGCTGGAAGTGGAGGCTGTCACAGATGCTGCCTTTGGCTTCTCCAGGTTGTCAATCAGAGAAGAACAGTCAAAATCCCCTCCTGAAAAAGCAGATGGGTTCAGAGTGTGTGTGCATGTGTGTGTTCAGTGACTGCTTTATGCATGCTTCACAGCAATAGGAACCCAGATGCACTGCTGGAGTAGGGCAGAAGGCTTGCACATTAGGTGGCTTTCTAATTGGTCCCCCTCTTGAAGCTGCAAAGAAGTAGCTCAGTGCACATACAAGCAAGGCCAGAGGCCTAAAGGTTTGGCAAAGGAAGCAGGTTGCAATGGGGTTAGAACAAAGTGACCCAGGGGAGCCCAGGCGAAGGCGAAGCTGGAGCCAGACTGAGGACTGGTCACCAAAGGCACTAACCTCTCAGCTGAGCATCAGGGACTCCTGCTGCAAGCAGTGGGATGATCCCGAGTAAGGGCAGCACTGTACACACTCTACACTAGACACATAAAACTGTGGCATTTTATGTAGGCAAAATAAGGTGACGTTTTGATATATGATGAAATGGAGGTGGCCCTAGAAGAAAGCATGAAAGGCTATCCAAAGACCCATGTGTAGAGGAGACAGGAAATCCCACCCATCATGAGGGGCAGTGAATGGACAGACTTGAAGAAGCCTGATGACCGCATAGGCCACACATATGTGTAGCATTAAAATTCATAGTCGCCTAACTCCTTCTTCTAACTCACTCACTGGCTCATTTGGCATTAATCCAATATAGATCAGAACCTGACTGAGCTGCTAGGAAACAATGGAGTATCAGACAGATGTCATCTCTGTCCTCATGTGGCTTGTGTGCTGGTGGGAGGAAGGTGGGACTAAGGACAACCTTCCACTATCAAATATGTTGATGTGCTGGGTAAAATGCTGTGTAGCATGTGTTTTTTCATCTAAGGGGTTATATAATTCAAACATGGTTTCAAGGACATGTGGCCCTTGAAACAAGAGTCCACACATAAATAAATATGTTTTACCAGCCCTTTAGTTAGCCTAACATTACCTCAAAAAGAGTCAATCAAATTCATCTCAAAATCATGTAGCATAATGTTTCACACCTGCTAAGCTAACTCCTAATGAAGATTGGTGTCGTCAACATTAGGACATTAAGGAATGACATGTAATTGTTGGCTCTGAATTTGAGTCTGGGGTTACAAGGTCCCAAATTGCCCAAGTCAGAGCTCCAGGCAGGAAGACTGCAGTGGGCATGTCCTTCCACCTCACAGAAGGTTCAGCACCACACCTGACCCACTACAAGTCTCTGAGATTCATCTGGCATGAATGCACGCAGGACTTCCCTGTTCTGTCTTTGGTGGTCTGTGTGATGCCCACACAGGGATAAACTTTACTTCTGTGACCTTGAGTAAAAATTTGAGCCATGGAGAGCTCATTGACCTGGAAGCAAAACCTCTCACAAAGAGCAGGCAGAAGCCCTGCCTCGGACACAGGTGTTTCCTGAGCTGGTGTCGAAGATGGCACACATCCAACTGATGTTTTTTAAACTGTATGGCTGAGCTCAAAAGAATGATGCATTCCCAGAGGCCACGGCAAGGACTCCCAGAGCTCTGAAGAGCCATGGCCAAACGGCACTGGAGGGTGGGGGTTTCTAGAAGCCAAAGGGCTATGGTTTCAGTGATACCATGGGAGCAGAGAAAAGGCCTTGGTGTAAAGAGAGACATAAAATTAGAACTGAATTCTTATAAGAATTTGAGTCTATTTCCCCAATGAAGGGGGAGGCTAAAGAAAAAAAGTCACTTAAAGTTCAGGAAGAGGACTTGATGGCTCATGTCCTTTGGTCTAGGCAGCTATCTCCCAAAGATTTTATGAGGAAGTGGTTTTCAAGTCCAAATTTATACTGAGAAGTTACTATTTCAAAACAGTCTTCACTGGTACTTGTCCTGTGATGTACACTAGGATGTACACTTAAATCTCGTTTTAGAACGCTCTCAGCCCCAGATGCACAGATTCTCTCAAAGAAAGCCCAAGGGAGATGAACTCACAACCCCAAACCACAAGATTCTCCAGGAGGTACTCTCCAGGGGAAAGGCAAACATGTACCACAATGCAGAAAAGGAGAACCCTAGGGCAGGAGGCAATGGGGGAACCCAGGAGATCATGCTTGATTTTCAGTTTAGGACAGTGGGTGTGGTGTCTGAGAACATTGTGCTCCTTTATTTTACCCTAGGGAAATGCTGAAGTAAACCCATAAACATGTTTTTTTCTAACTATACTATCTGCTTATTTTTTTCTTATCTAAAAAAGAGAATTATTTCTATGGCCTGTATGTGTCTTGGTTTTATGACTATAGAATTACTCAAATCAACTGTGTACATATTTATCTCCCCATATGCTATAGGGCACTCAGGTGAATGAGAGGGATACAGGGAGAAGACAGTGCCCCAAAGGGGCTAGAAATCCCAGGTGGTGTTTGTGCACATGAGAGTCACTGGTGGGAAGTGGTAAGGAGGGAGTGTTCATTAGGTAGGGGACACATGCAAAGTGATGTCATTGTTAAGAAGAAGCAAAGTGAGATTTGGTGGGAATGCCAAAGACTTGGCTTCAGAAGACGGAACCCAAGTCTTCATGCAAGAAACACAGGGCATGGGACCTAGGTTTTCTGACCCCGAGTTTCCTCATCTATAAAGTAGAACATTCTATGAAAAAGAAAGGAAGGGAAGGAGCAGAGCTTATTGGTGGACATATGGAAAGGGTTTTAAAAAAAAAAAATGAATGACTCTCCAGGGAATTGCTCTACCATGCAGGAGCTCCTCAGCCTGTTCCCAGACATTTCTAGGCACACATCTCATCCCACGTGGTTGCTTTGTTATCCCCTCCTCACTGTATGGCAAGGTGACATCAGGAAGGCCAGAAGAGAGGGGGAACTGGAAGAAAGGGAAGATGCAGTGGGTTCCCAGAGAGCGAGACCCAGGCACCAGACAGGAGCACATGCCTGGGGAATCCTGGGAGATGGTGCTGGCTGGACCACTAAGAAAGATCAGATCTTGAGGGGCCCCGGGTCACACTTGGGAGCTAAGATTATTCTGTGGGAGTCTGAAGTCATTAAAGTCATACGAGCATGAGGAGCTCCATGCGTTGAGATGCTCACTCAATGGTGAGATCTGAGAAATTCCCAGTCCTTGAGAGTTGAGCAAGTGGGGACCTCCAAGAGATACTTGGGGTCCTCATATAACAGGAGTCCTCTACCCTGTTATATGAGGGGATTTCTCCTCCCAGACAATTTTTTTTTCTTTTTTTGCATCCCAGAACGTGTTTGATTGACATTATTTAGCCCATGGGGGTTGCAATTGGCAACTAGTGTGCAGAGGCCAGGGATGCTGCTAACCTGCTCTGGAGGACAGCACGGCTATTGGGCCAAGAATGATCTGGCCCATAGTATCAGTAACAGTGAGCTTGAAAGCCTGCCAAAGGGAGACCAGACCTAAATGTACAGGCGTCTTGATCACTGGAGCCTTCGACACCTCTGGGAAGCACTGGCATGTGCAGACCTGTCTCTTTTTCCTGTTGTACTTATTCTTGTCCAAACACCCAGCTCTCTGCCTTGGTGGGATAAATCATTATCACAATTTTATAAATTTCCTATAAACTCAGACTATAGAATGTGTAAATGGTGTGGTCTTTGTTTAATATCTGTGTCCCTGACTAGACTAAATTTCCATAAGATAAAGTTCACCTGAGCTGCTCCAGACACCAGCAATCAGTCCAGCTCATAGTTGGCCCTCAGTAAGGTTGGTTATGTTAATGGATGGAGGTTTCCCTGGAGGTGAGAGCTTGAGACACATAGCCTTACCCAAAACCTAACCTGAGGTTGTCACAGTAGGGCTACGGTGATCACAGAGATAGTGGATCTGTTTGACCCCTGAGGAGGCTGAGGCTGACCTGATTAAGGCAAGGAATGGCCTCCTTGCCCTGATTGGGGCCTGACTCCACCTGACATCCTGCTCAACCTGGGTATTAACGCAGTGAGCCGGGGCTTTTGGCCTGGGGAATTCCTGCCAACCCCACAGGTTTCCTGGCACCATTCTACCCAGCACTAGCCGCAGTGGCCGAGAATGGAAACAATGTAAGCATCCACTGTCAGAAGAATGGGTAAAGAAAAGGTGGAATGTCATTCAGCCCTGCATAGAGAAGGCAGTCTGCCATTTCCAGCAAGGTGTATGAACCTAGAAGACACTGAACTAAGTGAAATGAGCCAGTCACAGAGGGACAAATCCTGCATAAGCCCTTTCTATGAGAATCTGTGAAGCCAAACTCACTGAAGCAGAGAATTCAAAATGGCTGGAGGTGGGTGAGGGTGGGGGAATGGAAGCTGCCCGTAAATGGTAGTTTCAGTTATGTGAATGGATTTTTCTACAGAGCTGCCATGCAATGCAGCGCCTGGTTTGCTAAGAAGATACATCTCATGTCAAGTTCTTACCATATGCACACAGGCATACACACACACACACAAAGATATTTATGGGAGGGTATTAGTTTTAGAGAAAAGCCACAGACCATCTTGCCTGTCCTAGGGTGAGCCGAAGTAGAGCTAGAGGAAGGTCCAATTCAGTCCTCCCTGTGTGAATTCTCTGTTCTCTTTCAGGGTGACTCACAGACTGGGAACACATCCCAAATTGCAGTATTGGGGTCTGGGGAGCTGCAAAGCACCATGGCTGAAGAATGAATTGCAACTAATGAGAAAAGGTGTCTTGACACAGCTGGGGAGGGGTGAACTGAGGACAAATGAAATAGGCAAAAAAAAAAAAAATCCTCTCTTGCCTGGAAAATGAAGCGACAGAAAATCAGGGGAAGTAGTGTTTGATTGCATCTATTGCACAGAGAGAAAACAGAAAAACAACTTAATTTTGAATTCTTCTGGAGTCTTCTAACTAGGCTACATTTCCAGAGAAAAGTAAATTGCTGATAAAAGTCACGGGGCCTTGGGTAAATCCAGAAAATGAGAAGTCTGGGGAAAATTTGATTACAGCTGATAGCGGAGATGAGAGATTTCAAAGTCCTGTGCACCAGGTTGACTAATTACTGATTTGGGAG